AAATAATGATTATCACTTAGCTGTCATAGAGCTGTCTTGTTGGTTGTATAGCACTATCATTAATTTATATAGAAAAGTAAAAAAAAATCCCTTCATAAAACTAGTATAAATATTATCATTTGGACTAATCCTATTTATTGTAATGATTAAATAATTTATGTTAGTGTGTATATATATATATATATATATATATATAGAATTTTGACCTCCAATCATTGCACTAAGGTACTCTATTTCTGATAAAGTTATTTTCAATTAAGGAATTTATATATATATATATATATATGGTATTTTGACCTCCAATCATTGAACTAAGGTAAAAGGGCACTTTTGTAATGTGGTACCGCTCACCTACCACATCTCATCTACCGCTTACCTACCTCTCACCTATCACTCTCTTGCTTCTATAAATAGAGAGGGTGTGAGGCTTGGAGAGCAAGAGAAGAGATCTTAAGTTACCATAAAAGATGAGAGAAGAGCAAAAGAGCCAGAGAGGAGGAGAGCATCTTGAGGCCTTGTATAAAGGTGTCACTTGAAAGGGAGGTCATAGAAGAAAGATGAGGGCTCATCTCTATGTATAAGCTATGTATTCTCCATTTCTTTTGCCTTAGTGAGCTATTTGATTGATTCCCTCCCGTGGACGTAGATCCAGTTGGATTGAACCACGTAAATGATCTGTGTTTGCTTGTGTTCTTTGCGTCTCATTTCTATGTCAGGAAGTACATATCACACAATAATATATATAATGAGTCGCAGTTTTTCCCCAAGGTCTCAAACTCTCTCCATAGACTTCAGATTCCCTTCATGTGAGGGGTTAAAGTCAATTTATAGTATTTTGGGTGCATTTAATGCAAAAATATCAACCATTTTGATCGGACGGTCCAGAGAGTTTCCTTGGATCATGTGATGGTTAATTGATATTTGAGTGTCTTAACGATGTTGGATTGAGTAATCTTAGTCTCATTAGATTTGTCTTGTCGAGACGCTCGATTATAGAGTAGGCTTGCTAGTGTCGACATCTGTTTGATCACATCAAAAATATTTTAAAAGTGAAGCAAGTTTTTTCATTTATTAATAAGATACTCTATTTTTTATTATTTTGTTTAATATAAATGAAATACAAAAAATTAATTTTATATATTAAAAAATACCCAAAAAATTATATTTTCCATGTAATTATAATTTTTCATTAACCCAACCACGCTCATTTGCACCGCCAATACATTTAAAATATATCACAACAAAAAAGGAAGATTTACATATATACCACTATTTTTTTATGCATTTACATATCTAACTCATTATGTTCAATTTGTACATATACGTCCCATTATCTTTATATGAAAATATGTATTTAATTTTTTTAAAAAAAATTAAAATAATGGTATTTTTTATATGATGTGAAAAATTATAGAATGTAGAATAAATATAATTTTTCGTAATTTCTTTACATTCATTCATTTTAAGTTTGATCTATTGAAATGAGTCGGCTCGCTCCGATTTTCAAGCTTGAACAGATCTAAATAACTCAGTTTGAGCCATTTCGCTTTGAATTCGAGCCTGATCAAGCTCAATTCAATTTCAAGTCGACCTGACTCGAAATATAATATAACGAGCTATGAGTCTATTTCGAGCCTCACTAATCTCAACTTGATCGACTCAAAATCGGCTCGTTTATAGCCCTACATGCACTTATCCATGAAAAGGAGCATTAAACATTTTAAGAGTTAAAATAGTAGTAATTTTGATATGATACGAAAGATTTGGGTGGTATAAATATCTATATATATA